TTCAAATACCTACCGTGCTGCCGTGAGCACCTCAGTTCTTCGAGCCCCCACTCATTATCATGGGAGGCAATCGCCGACGCGGTGGTCAAAAAGGATATAAGCGGTGCTCCAAGTGCCAATACAAAAGGACATGGAAGTCCCGCCCGTTCTGCTTCAGCTGCGGCCATCGGCTGTCCCTGTCGCCCGCGCCACCGCGAGAGCCCGCGGGGGCCTGGGCCAACCCCGTTGGGCGAGCAGCAGGGCCTGCACCCGCCCCGCCCTGGGCCGCAGGCCGCGCTGACAGGCAGCCAAGCCGCCCCCGGCGGAGAGGGGGCCGCGCTGCCAGCCAGTCTGTGCGAGAGGAGTCGCTGCTCGAAACCGCAAGGCCGCCGTCGCAGCCCTCCAGAACCTGGAGGCCGCGCTGCAGCCAGCGCCTGCGGCGGCCAGGATGGAGCTGCCCGACGAGGGGGTCCAGCGCGCCTGGCGAGCCGCCAGGCGCGCCACCAAGGCCCTCAACGAGCCCATGGACGCCACCGAGCAGGCCCGCACACGGCTCGCGCAGTGCCAAGTGGAGGGGCGCCCTCGCCGCCGAGTGCGCAACAGCCCTCGGCGAGCAGACGCGGGCCATCGCCCGCGCCAAGGCCTGCCTCGATCTAAAAGCAGGGTGCCTCGGCCTCCGTCTCTGTCAAACTCTCTTGCGTACTGGGAGGGAGGGAAGGCCTGTCCTTCGAGCTGGACGACGCCTTCAACTTCGAGGGCATCGCCCTCGCCGCGGCGGAGCAGTCGCAGTGGGACCTCGCGCTCGAGAAATTCAAGGCCGAGTTCTCCAAGCAGTTCGAGCCCATGTTCAAGAAAGCCGCAGAGGAGCTCAGCCGTCGACGAGAGGCCCTGGCCAAGCTCCAGGAGGACTTCCGCACGAAGACCCAGAAGAGGCGTTGCGAAGATGAATGGGGATTGTGGCACTGATGGCGCCGGTGATCTAGCTGGTCGGGAGGCTGACACCGCGGGAGCCGAAAGCGCCGCCAGCGGCGCGGCAGCCCTGGGTGCGGAGGGCGCAGCAGGCGCCCACGGCGCCTGCGGCGCTGGCCCCCGGCGAGGCGCCGACCCGCGCAGCGGGGCCGCTGGCCGCGCGGCGCCAGCGGGGCGGCCCGCCACTCCAGCGAAGGCGAGCATCTCCAGGGAGCGCCTGGACGAGCTCAAGGCGGCCGCGAAGGCCGGCCGCGCCCGCGAAGGCCGGCCGCGCCCGCGCGGCTGGCCAGGCCCGCGAGCCCCCAGCGTCGCCCTAGCTACGGGCGCCGCCGTGGCGGGCGCCGAGCAGGCCAGACGTTCACCTTCGCCCCCGCGAACGGCTCTGGTTTGGGCCCGCTCACCACCATGTGGGGCAGGCCCCGGGGCGAGGCGCCAGAGCTGACGAAGAAGGCGCACGCTGGGCAGCGCTGGATGGCCAAGGGCACCCGCCTCTTGCCATGCAGACCCCCCCCCAAGGAGCCGCAGCGATTCTAAAACGGGAGAATTTCCAACGCGTTGCTTCGCGGGGAAACATCGCGGGACGCAGGGGGGCATCGCGGGGCGCCCGCGCGCCATCGAATGGACGCGCGCCGCCTGCCCCTGCCATTGAATCGCGCCAGGCGCGTCGCGGAGGCGCGACCAACGCGGCCCCCGAGCCCGGCCGTCGCGTGACCGCTGCGGAACTCACCACCGCGATGACGTTTCGTTCCGCGCTCGTCGGGCGCAGCGTCCGCGCGAATCTCGACGCGCGCAGCCGTCGAAGCGAAGACGGAATCGGCGCGCGCAGCCGTCGAAACGCCCGGCGCTGCCCCGGCCGCGCGGTCGATAGCTCGCGCGGGAGAAGCGCCTCCCAAGCTGATTCACGCTGAAACGCGCCGCGCGGGACCGACGGACCACAAAGAAAGGGTGACCTCGGTGACTCTGCATGAAGAACAAACGCTCGAGCGCGAGCGCCGCGCGGGGAATTGGCGGGGCGCCGGAAGCGGTTGGGTCTCACACCCGCGCAAATCGAGCTAACTCCACTTCTGGGGAGCGGCGCTCGCGGGGGCCGCCGCGGGCACGGGGGCCGCTGGCGCAGACTCCGCCGCGACCACGGCGAGGCCCCGGCGCTCCCCCTCGGCGGCAACGGCGCGCGGCTGCGCCGTTGGCGGAGAAGAGGGGCCCGGCGGCAAACGTCGGCTTCAAAGCAGCGGCCGCGGGCGTGGCGGCGCAATCGCGAACCCAATGCGCGAGGGAGCGCGGCCCGCCGCGATGGCATCCTCTCCAACCGGGCGGGGGCCCCCGGGGGGGCCCCCGGCCCCCTCCCCGACCCCCCGGCCGCCTTTCCGCGGCGCCCTTCCCCCCCCCCCCGCCCGTTGAGCCACGATTGGGAACATTTTGTCGGCCCGATTGCGCCCGCTTTTTTGGCCCCCCTTCAGCGGAGGCATACTTTTTGACAGCGATTTTTCTCACAATTAAAACAATGAGGAAAACGTCGCGTTCAAAATCGCGGGTGGTTTCGCGGGACCTTGTAAGGGGGCGCGGAATCGTGGCCGAAAATCGCTGGCAAAATCGCGCCCGAAATCGCGGGCGAAATCGTGGCCGAAATCGCGGGCAAAATCGCCGGCGAAATCGCGGGCGAAATCGCGGGCGCAGAATCGCGGGCCTGTCCGGCGCGCCGGCATGCCGAGCAGGCGCGCCCGCGCAGCACCAGCGGCAGCGAGGAAAAGAGAAAGAGGAGGGAGCGGCAGCAGCAGCATGAGGACCAGCAGCAGCAGCAGCAGCGCGAAAAGGAAATTCGCCGACCCAACGGGCCAGAGGCGTGCTAAGATCTCCGGTAACTGTTAAATAATACTTCTACTTCGCGCGCGCGGGGCGGCCCCTGGGGGTCCCCGGACGAAAAGTACCCCGGGCGACCCCCGGCAGGGTCGGGTCAGATGGTTTTCCTCCTGGGCGCCGCCCCCGTGACCCTCCAGAGAGCCCCAAGAAGGGCCACGAGGCCGCCAAGAGCCCTCCAAGATGGTTCAAGAGTGCTCCGAGATGCCACGCGATCGTTCCAAGACGCCCAAGATGGCCCCCAGACGCCCCAAGAGGCCTCCAAGAGCACTCCCTAGAGGGCCCCAAGAGGCAGAATTCCGTACTTTTCCTTAGGTTTTAGGCAGATCTTGGCGCGCCCATCTTGTCGGCTTCCCGACGCCCCAAGACTGCCCAAGAGGCCCCCAGGAACGCCCCAAGAGGGCCCAAGAAGCCCCCAAGGCCCCAAGATGGCCCAAGAGGGCTCCGAGACGGCCCCAGAGGAATCCAAGACGGCCCAAGAGGGGCCCAAGAGGGCCCCAAGCGATGCCCCAATAGGGGGACACAAAACAAAACTTCGAGCCCTCGGCCTTAAGAAGCCCCCAGAAGGCCTCAAGAGGCCCCTGAGAGGCCCCAAAAGCCCCCAAGAGGCCCTCAGGAGGCCCCCAAGCGACGCTGAAAAGGACCCCCAGCGGCCCCAAGAGGCTCAGTCATGCGAAATGGGCCGGCGGAATGAGCGAAGCGATTCAACAAGGGGAAGCAGCAGCAGGAGAGGACGAAAGAAAGAATCGTCGAAATTGGCCCGCCCGTTGGCCGCGCGCCCCATAGCGTGCCGGCCATGCTTCTCGGCGGAAGCTCGCCGGCCCAACTGGCCACAAGCGCGCGAAGATCTCCGGCGACTGCCTCGCAGCATTCCTACTTCGCGCGCCCTTGGCTGCCTATGGGGGCCCCCGGGCACAGAGCGCCCCGGCCAAGTCAGGCCAGATGATATTTCCCTTGGGCGCGGCTTGCAGGCGCCCCAAAGCGATCCAAAAGGGCCCCAAGAGGCGCCCGAGACGGTCCAAGAGGGCTCCGAGTCGTCGAACCATCGGTCCGCGACACCCACGATGGCTTCCAGACGGCCCACGACGCGCTCAAGACCCCCGAAGAGGCCGCCGCGCCAATCCGCTTGGGGGACGCAGCTTCATGACACCTCTACCCCGACGGCGCCGTCCGCGACGAACAGCGGCTGCGCCGCCAAGGCTTGCGAGGCGCCCTCAACCCTGGCATCTGGAAGCAGGACAGCCTCGACCTGTAGCAGCGGCGGGCAGCGGCGGGGGGAACGGGCGCGGTGGTCTGAGCAAGCCGTGGCGCTGCCCAGCCCCTGCCTGCTTCCTCCTCTGCAGCAGCCGAGGCGCCTGGAGGCCAGTCGCAGCATGTTTCCAGAGGCCGCTGCACCTGCCTCCACGTCGATGGGGATCAAGCGGGGCGGCATCCTTGCGGCCAGCGTGCATTTGGACAACGATCGCCTGGGAGAGACCTCGTGGGGGGCCCTGCGGGCCCTGGGGCGCGCGCTCAGGGCGTCGGGGAGGTCCTTCGTAATCGGCGGGGGCTTCAACGCAGGGCCTGGGCCCTTCACGGATGAGGCCCGGATGAGGCCCGGCTCTGGCTCGAAGACATCCGCGGCCAGGTCGCCAGCAACTCCGAGGGCATCGGCCCCTGCCACTTCGCCGAGGGCGCGCCGCCGTCGGAGCTCGACTTCTTCATCGTGCCCCAAGACCTTGCCACAGGATCCAGAGCTGCCGAATCATTGGTGCCCCTGCCTTCAGGCCGCACCGAGCTGCAGCCCTCGCGCTGAAGCAGGGGGGCGAGGGGCCGCGGGAAAGGCGGCTCGTCGCCCCGCGGCCTTCCCCGCAGAAGAGGCCAGCGGGCCCCGCTCGGGAGCCCCCGAGCCGACGCCGAGGTGCAGGAGCCCCCGGGATGACCTCGACAGGGCCTTCCCGGGCATCATGGGGCACGCGGAGGAGCAGATGCCGCGCGCCAATCACATCGGCCACGGCAATATGGTTGGGAGAGAGAACGCCCAGCCCGCAACCGCTGGCGACGGCCACCGAAGGACCCTGGAGGACGCCTGCAGCCCAAGGCGCGCGGGGAGGCGCGGCCGCTGCAGGCCGCGCTCTGGCTGCGCAGAGGGGCCGAGGGCCCCCGCCCCCGACGACGCGCGTCGCGGCCTGCCAGTCGCCCGGAGGGGCGCTGCCCAGGGCGGCCCCTCCACGCCGCCTGAGGCCCGCGCTGCCTGGGCCGACGCCCTGATGGTTGAGGCGACCGCGCTCACGGGCGCCTTCCGCGCGGGCCAGGCCAAGGGCTTCTCGGAATGGATCCCGCGGCCCATGAAGGCTGGAGGTGGAGCTGCCCATGCATGCAGGAGGGGGCCCCAAGGCTGGCTGCCCGACGAGATCGCGGACGGCGCCCCCGCGGGCGGACAGGACAGAGCCGACGCGGTGGCAAAGTTTTGGCCCCAAGAGGTCTGGGCTCTGAAAGACCCAGCGGGGCCGTCGGAAACCGCGCTCGGGCCTCTGACGGGGCCGCCACTGGGGAGGCCCTCGCTGAAGCGAGCTCGCAGGGCGGCCAATCAGCTCGCCAGGCGCACGGGGGCGGGGGCCGACCACCTCAACCCGAAGCTCGTCGCGGGCCTCAGCGACCTGTGTGTCGAGAGCCTCGTCGACCTCGAGCGTCTCGGGGGTTCCCCCTCGGCCGCGAGAACAGTGCACCTAGTCATGCTCATCCAGCCCAATGGCGGGTTCCGCCCTATAGGGCCCCTCACCTGGCTGCCGAAATGGCGGGCGCGCATCCACCAGAGGGGCAGCCGCTCGTGGGCAGCCAACCTGCCGCCAAGGAGAAAGGGCAACTTCTGGGGCGGCCAAGGGAAGGCCGCGGAGGAGGCTGTCTGGCGGCAGGCCCCGCGCAACGAGTCAGCTGACGGCAGGGGCGAGCGCGCCGGCGGCGTGCTCCTTGACATCTGGAAAGCCTGCGAGGCGGTCTCGCCGGCGGTCGCTCAGAGGCGCGCGGGTGCAGAGGGGCACCCCCTAGCCCTCGCGGTTTCGGCGCTCAGCATCTACGGGGGCCCGAGGAGGATCGTCCACCACGGCGTCGTCTCGGAGGCCCTCTACCTGGCGACGGGCCTGGAGGCTAGTCGCGGGCGCGCCGGAAGCTTGCCCCGATGCTGCATGGCCGCCGTCGACGCGGAGCACCGCAAGATGTACGAGAAAGTGCCCCTGGCCATCACGTTCGACGACTGCTCCCTGCGCATGGCGGGCCCCGAGGCCGAGGTCGGCACCCTGCCGGGCCAGGCGGCGGGGGCAGCTGCCGGGGGCCTCGAGCGGGGCCCGGGCGCAGCGGCCTCGAGGGGCAAGAGCGAAATCCTCGGCAGCTCCGACAGGCTCCGCCGCATCATCGAGTTCTTCGCGCACGCTGAGGATGCCAGGAACCTGAGGGTGGACTGCGCCATGGGCGGGAAGGCCGCCACCGTGGCCTGCTTGAGAGCGCTCGCGGGCAGCGCCCAGGTCGACCGCGCCCTTCATGCGCGACGGTCGTCCAAGGCCGCGGGGTGCAAAACTCGCCAACTCAGGCCTGACGCCCGTCACGACCTACGGCATCTCGTGCATGGCCTGGTCCACTAAGGCGCTGCTGCGCTGGCGGTCGCGGCTCGCGGCGATCGCTTTCGGCACGGGAGCGGGCAGACGCGTCGCCCTCAACTACCATGCGACGCCCCCACGACCACATCGCGAAGCCCATCGTCGCATGGGCCAAGGGGCTGCAGCTGGCGCTGGATGCTGACAGGCGGCCATCGGCTCCGCCTTCGCGGCGGCCCGAAGCCGCCTGGTCTCAGCAGGGGCCGAGGGCCCGGCGGCGAGGGGCCCCGCAACGGCCACGGTCCTCGCCGCCCTACGGCTGGGCTGGAGGGCCGACCACATCATGCGCTGGACCGAAGACCTGCAGCGCCCCATCGACCTGGGTGCCATCGACAAGCACGCCCTCGGCCGCGAGGCCCAGGCCGCCTTCGCCAGGAAGCTCTGGCGGGACACCGCCGTGGGGGGCCTGCGCCGCCGTCTCTGCAGGGCGCAGGGCAGCCCAGCCTGGGCGGCGCGATGGTCCACGGCCAGGAACCCCGTCGTCGGCCGCATCTGGCCTGCGCAGCGGCGTACCGAAGCCTCCCCGCCGCTGGCGAGCTCAGGGCGTTGCCCTGCGGGCTGCGAGGCGAAGGGGGCCCTCAGGCACCTGGCCTGGGCCTGCCCCGCGCTGGAAGGTCTACGCGGGCAGTGGAAGGTCGACGACCCGGATCTCGACCTCTCCCTGAGCTCTGGAGGCCCTCACGACGCCGACGACGAGCACGCCCTGTGGTCGAGACGTGCCTGGTCAAGGATCCGAGGTGCGACCACCCCCCGCCGCTCGCCGCGCGCATGGTCCGCGCCGCTGGGCCAAGAGCTGGTGGGCCCCTGCATGGCGAGGTGTTCTTGGGCGGCTCCGCCTACAGGATCCAGGGCCACATCATGGCGCGCGCGGGCTGGGCAGCTTGAGCCACCGACCCCGCGGGCGCCGAGCTCTCCAGCATCTTCGGCCCAATGCCGTGGCCCTGGCCCCAGGAGTCGGGAGCCGGCGAGCTGCTGGCCGCGGCTGAGACGCTGGCGCATGCTGTATCAACCGATGGTAGCACACGAAGTCTACTCGGGATTGTTCGTAAAGAATTGATAATCTTGATTATCGGCCGTATGAAACGTAACGCAACCTTTTACATGACTCAGGGGCCCCTGAACATCAAACGGCGATGGTACATGGCAATCGAATTGCAACGCTGCAAGCAATACTTCACATCTGTGCTAATCTGCATACACACTGATAAGAATAAACACTACACAAATTCGGTAGAACAGGGGTGATATCGACACGGGCGGAAAAAGGAGTCAGCACAGATTCGCTATAAACCAATCATCGCCTAGAACAGGGCTCCCCGGAACATTACCAGGAAACAAAACTCAAACTCGAAACTAACCAGAACTTCAACATGTTCGGGAACAGGACCGAAGCTAAAAAAGACAAACATCCCTGACACCGCAGGTCCCAGGACACAAACCTTGTCCGACAAGACTGTGAAACCACCGGCGGTCGCGACAGCGACATATATCTCCTTAATTATTTTCGGCAGCCAGGCGATCGGTCGACCTCGCCTGGCAAACAAGTCCGCGCCTCCGACGGCGCTCAGCAAGTCGTGCTTCTCGAAGCACCTCAGCAAGTGCGGCATCGCCGCCATGTCGCCATAGGCGTGGGTCCCCCTCGTCGTAACGATCAGCTGAAGAATGCCCCGTGGGCGTACTCTGGCAGCGGCTGGAACCTCGGCTGTGCCAGGTCCAGATTATAGCGCGTCGGAGCCTGGCAGCACATGTCGCGCGTCTTCTTCTGCTTGATCGGCTTCGTGCTCGTTCCTGTCGTGGCGGTCTCCGCCGTCGTCGATCTGGTCGGGACTGATCCCGTCTCCGGCTCCAGCGTCTTGTAGTCTGCGCTCGTCGTCTTGCTCGTCAGGTGCATCCACCACACCCCTGCGCAGAACCCACAGCCGAACGCCAGGATGAAGCATATCACGATGCCGAGCATGAGCAGCTTCGTGATCAGGTCGCTCCAGTCGTCGGGCGCGGGTGTGTTGAACAGCTCAACGCCGCTGGGCGTGTACTTCATCAACTCTCCGGCTGCACTCGATGCTCCGCTCGCTGCCAAGGTTGCCGCCAACTACGCACCACTCGCGCCAAAATGGCGCTTCCTCTGTTTGGGCTTCTCCTTTGGCTTCGCCTCGAACTCGTCCGCCAGGTCATCTCCAGCCTGGTCCAGCTCCTTCTCGCGCTGCTCCATCGCGCGCTTGGTCAGCTTCTTCCCGGCCACGAAATTCGGGTCGTACCGTAGAGCGTGAACTCCACGGCGCAGCACGTCCGCCATCTGCTGGCGCGCGGAGAGCTTCGTCAACCCGTCCGCCATCTGCTGCTGGGTGTTCACCCACTTCCACACTGCGCCGATCTCTTCCATCTGCTCGTTCACAATCTTCACCTCGATGGCCGTCCGCTTCTCCGTGATGCCCAGGCCTGCTGTCGCTGACCTTGAGGCGTCGTAGAGACACTTCGCATCCGTGATGAACGGCGACTCTCCGAGGTACAGCATCGCTTGGTCTGGCTTGAAGTCTGGCCGCAAGCTCAGCGTCAGGTAGATCTTCACCCACATCAGCGAGTCCACGCCTAGCGCAGCTGCCTGCGCCTCCGCGGACAGCGAGCTCCTGCACAGCCGCACGAGCTTCTTCGAGGCCCACTCCACCCCCACGAACGGTGTCGGGTTGCCGTTTCGCAGGTCGTCGTCGGGTCCAACGAAGATCGCATAGCCACCCTGCGAGCTCCCGTCCAGGCGGCTTGCCCAACTCGCGTCGGAGTAGCCTCCCACGCGCAGCTCGCTCCAGGCCTTGTCGCACCCGAAGTAGAGTCCCACGTCCGCGTTGGCCTTCAGAAAGCGCAGGTCCTTGTTCGCGTCAAGGAGGTCCTGCACCGTAGCATTTCCCGTGGCCGCTGCCCTGAAAGAAACAGTCGCTGCGGCTATCATCACTCCTTGAGCCGCGGGCCACTGCAGCTGACCGTTCAGGGTCCTGAAACTGGTGAGCTCCCTCGGCGTCAGCGCGCTCGTCGGGTCTGCCCGACGGTGCTTCTCGATGGCGATGGGCTTCACCGCGTGCAGGTACTTCTCGAACTTCAGGGTCACCGCGTAGGTGCTGAGAGACTGCTCTACCTCGCCGCCGGTGAAGATCAGGCTCGGCCCGAAGTCCCACTTGCCGAACGTGAACTTCTGGTTGAGCGCGCCCAATCTCGCTTGGAAGCACTCCGGGTTGTCCAGCATGGTGTGCAAGTCGTCCTCGCAGTTGACTCCCTCGCCGCATCCGACGAAGTCGTCCACGTGCTTGCCGATCAGGCCGTCCACCACGTAGGTCTGGTCCTCGAAGCTGCACACGTCGAACGGGTCGTCCTCGACCTTCGCCGGGCGCAGGGACAGCAAGAGGCAGTCCTCGAGCCAGTGGTTCCTGAACCCGATCTCCTTCGTGACTTCATCGGACCGGTAGTGCCAGAGCTTCGGCGACCTCGGGTCCCCGAAACATGGCTTGATCATCTTCAGCAGCTGTCCAGGTTGCAGGCCGATCTGCTGAGAGAGCATCTCCCTCATCTCCTTCGTCGGGCTCGCGTACAGCTTGAGTCCGCGTACGTTCACGTCCTCCGCCTGCAGGAATGCGGACTTCACATCCGCCGTGAACAACCTCCACTTCCGTAGGGACGCCCAGAGCATGACCGTGTGCCGGCCCAGTCTGCTCAAGGTTGGCGCCTCCTTGTCGAGCTGGCCCTCGGCGACGTCGCGATGCTTGAACCCCTGGTACAGCACGCGCGCGTTAGCCACCTTCTGTCCGTCTTTCATCTTCCACTTCAGCAAGAACCGCAGCGGACAGCAGGCTGCTGGGTCCACGTCTTCCTCGTTAATGGGCTCCCAGCCGTCGTTCTGGTTGAACACCTCGAGGGCCTCCAGCTTCGCTGCGTAGAACTGTTCCTTCTCCTCGGGCGTCAGCTTTCCCTCCACGATGGTGGGGGCTTTCCGCTTGAAGGCCAGCATGTAGACCGTCTCAGTGGACTCTTCCAACAATAGCATCTCGTCGTCTACTTCTTCAAGCAGCGTGGCGCGCTCGTCAGGAGGGTTCAGCTTGGCCCACGTCAAGCGGGCTCGCTTCGATAGCGGCACGCCACCCAGCTTCTCGGCCTCCTCTACGCTCCTCTTGGCCATCGTCTCGATGTGGAGCCGGCTGGGCTCTGGCGCTGCATGGCTCGATGCACTTCCGCTCGCGGCGGCGCCAGCGTCAGCCGCTGGGGAACGCGGTGAGTCTCGATCAACTGCCTCCACGCCACCAGGATCGCCAGGCTGAGCCTCTTCGGGAGCTGCCGCTGCAGCTGGCCCCGATGCCTCGCCGGGCTCCTCCGTGTCTGTCTCCTGGACGTCGGGTCCCCGCGCCTGCGGCTGGCCCCCCATGTCGTCCAGGTTGTCGTCGTACTGGGGCGTCTGCCCCTCCTCCGCCAGGTCCCTGTAGTTGCAGGTGCCCTTCGTCCGCTTCAACGCGCGGCGCAGCTTCTCGATCAAGCTGAGCGGGCTGTCGGGGTCGCCCCTGCGGCCCTCGCGCTCGCGGGCCTCGCCCGGCAGTTCGGGTCGTAGCTGCTCGACCGTGCACCTGTAGATCACGCACCCGTGTGTGGCCCAGACCACTGAGGTGTGCATCACGTCGTCCTCGTTGGGCTTCGCCTCCACGGCCACCGCCAGCGCGGGGCCGAACCAGTGGCACTTCTCCAGGCCGCGCGAAGGCTCAGGTCTCCAAATGTAGACCCACTCGCCAACCTCGTATTCTCGGCGGGTCGGCCTGCTGCGGGCCAGCAGGGCTGCGCGCACGGCGCGCGAGCAGTTGGCCTCGATGAAGGCCGTGCCGGCAGCGACACGCCGCAGCATCATCTCGTGCACCTCGCTCCTCGGGTCGACCAGCGCGGACTGCTCGGCCAGGCCGAAGTCCTCGTCAGAGAGGGCGCCCGGCACGCGGGGCTGAGTCCCCAGCACCAGCATGGCGGGTGAGAACCCGCGCACGTTCCGCAGTAGGTTGCGCTGGCTGGCCGTCATCCGAAGGGCTGTCTTGAGCGAGTCGTCGGGGAACTGCATGTGGTACTTGCTCAGCTGCTCCCTCCGAACCGCGTGGTTCCGCTCCATCAAGCCCAGCTGGTGGTGCGCGCCCTTCGGTATCAGGTCGAGCTTGATGTCGTGCTTGCTCATCCAGGAGTGCATCTTCTTGGACGTGTGCGAACCGCCCATGTCCATGCGCATCGTCTCGGGCTTGCCGGCCCAGCTGATCCAGAGCTTCTCGAAGAGCTTCTTCTCCTTCTTGAAAGTCTCCTTTGCGATGGGGTAGTCGACCTCGTAGCGCGTGAACTCGCCCATCATCGCTAGGATCTTCCGCTCCTTCGTCTTCCAGGTAACGTAGTACACGTCAGCGCTGACCACCTCGTTGAAGCGCTTGGCCTTCGGGAGCACGGCCACGCGCACGGTGCGCGGTCGCTGTCTCTTGAGGCAGATCTCGCACTGATAGAGCCTGGCGCACTGGATCCACTCTGCTGGGGCACCTGCGTGTCGCATGGCGTTGGCCAACGCCGCATTCGAGGGGTGTCCCAGGCTGACGTGGGCGCGCTTGACCGCACGGATGGTTGAGACGTTGAAGCGCTTCATCAGCTCCTGCATTACGTCTGTGTACTCGATGGCGTCGATGTCCTTGTGCACTTCCTCGGCTGTGTAAATCTCGTCGACGTCGGCGGCCATGCCCTGGTAAGCAATCAGGTAAGCCATCCGTCGAGCCATCGGTGCAGGGTAATTCTGAGCCTGCTGGGCGAGCTTGCCGCGTAGTGTCACGTGCTCGCCCCTGCACTCGCACCTCAGACCCATGTGATCGACGAACTCCTTGTTAGTGGACTGCAATCGCGTCGGCTTCTGGCACGGCATGTCCACTCCCTTCATGGGGAACTTGGCTCCCAGGCGGCACTGGTCCAGCCGGCAGCGGTGCCCCGGCAGTGCCTTCCACGTCTTGGTGCTCCAGTGCGCTCCTGACCATGGGCCTTCCACGTAGGCGCGTCGGCCTCCATTCAGCTGCTTCACGAACGAGTCACGGACCAACTTCAGAAACGTCTTCTCCTCGCGTATCCTCGCCTCGTGGATCTCCGCGGCGCGCTCTGCTGAGAGCGAGGCGTTCACGTACTGCCACGAGCACCATACCTTGCACGGGGGTGCGAGGAAAATGTCGTCGGGTCTCTCGACGTCGATCTTCCTCAGGAACGCCTCAATCACCTTCGGCTTGGAGAAATCCCAGCCGTCCTCGAGGCGGAACTG